TAAATAAATGAGCATTGGTAAGCCAATACCAATATAATAGCCATAAATCTCATTTTCACTTTTATTATAGTTGAAAATTATATTTAATGTTTTAAAAGGTAAATCACATCATTAATTTTTCAGAATATTTTTACAAGAATATATTCATAAAAACTTTGGATTTATAAGGATGTAGAAAAATTATCTGTCCACAGGGTTTAATAATTTATTAAATCATATGAAATCACTTGTTTGCTTCATTCATGGAGCTATTCTGTCAATTTTTTTTGCCATCTTACTCAACTTAACTAAAAAATCTTTTAAACATATATATTTTTTCAGATGTATTTTAATTAAAAAAAAAGAAGTTACTGTATTGGAACTTTGTCTTATATGATAATTACTTTATTTTAAAACATCCTTTTACTTCTTAATTGTTACACAATATTCCAAATTCAAAACAACTCCTCTGTCCTTTCTTACCCTCTTTTTTCCTTCTTTATCCCTTCTTTCTTTCATCTCTCCTTCTACAAATATTTATTGAGTGCCTAATATATGCCAATTACTATGTTGAATATTCAGACAAGTGGAAATTATAGAAAAATAATTATAGCCAATTTAACAAGAGCTATAATAAGATGGAAAATATATTCCAAACACTTGAACATAACATTGTCATTACATGGCATTTGTTTTTTGTAAACGATCTGTTTCTGCCACAAGATTTTAATATAACTAGAGCTGGAACCCTATCTTGTTCTCCTATAAATCATTTCCCCCACTTATCTCACAGCACTCAGCACATTACTTTATGCATAATGGGCCTCCAGTAAATGTTTTTTAAATAGAATATACTTACAACAGTAGATACATAAAATATGGAGGCTTTCTTTAAAATAATAACTTTAAAAATATTTTTAGATGTTTATGGTCCAGAATTAGAAGCCGAACAAGTAAAGAATAAAACTTAAGTCATCTACATTCTCACTTCCAAGCAATAACAATCACATGTATACGTTGATGCATTTCTTTCTGGTCTTTTGCTTTATGTATTTGGAAAATAACTATACATACATGTTTCCATACAATTTTCATTCTAATTTTTTCACTTTGTATATTATGAACATTTTCCACATGGTAAATAATCATAAATATTAGTCAGTTTAATGGCTGCCTCATATTTTATCATAAGATTTTATGATTTAAACATTACATGATTATTGGACAATTACTTATTTACAGTAGTTTGTAATTATGAATAATTGTACAGCCACAGAGTGTCCAGGATACACAAATTTTGTTCACTCTCACTGATTATTTTTCTAAGGACTATACTTGAAAAAATAACCACATATAGAGAAGAATACTTGGATATTCATTAATTACGTTGTAAATTATTTTTTGTTCTAGCTGAAGTTTTAAAAAAATTTAGAGTATTACCCATTGTTAAAAGAAATTGTCTTTTTTTAAGAAAACTATTTTTACATTTTCTAGAATATTAATACTCAGGCAAATTATTTTAAGTTAACGAATAGCTATTTTCCACTGCATTTCCTATCATGTCTCACACATAAGTGGTTGTAAATGCTTTTTGAATAAGTAAATAAATAGAAGAGATAGAATGGAACAGAATAAATGGGACAATATAGAAGAGCTTAATAAGCAAAATAAGTTAATCAGAAAAGGACGATTATCATATGATCTCTCTGATACGAGAAATTTGAAAGGCAGGGCAGGGGTTCATGGGGGGAAGGGAGGGAAAAAATGAAACAAGATGGGACCAGGGAGGGAGACAAACTGAGGGCTGCTGGAGCTGGGGTGAGGGGAGGAATAGGGTGTCTGGGTTATGGACATTGGGGAGATTATGTGCTATGGTGAGTGCTGTGAATTGCGTAAGACTGAGGATTCACAGACCTGTACCCCTGAAGCAAATAATACATTATATGTTAATAAAAATAAATTAATTAAAATAATAAATGAATTATGTTAGTAACTATTCTTATTTGAATACATTAGTAGAATTTTAAGTCTTTTTTTTTCATAAGATTTTAAAGATTCCCCCTAAAAAATTCTCTATGAACAAACTTTCAAATCAAACTATTTTGAAGCTTGTTCCAGTTATCTGTTGCTGCTCCAAAACTTAGTGGCTTAAAACATCCATCTCTTATTTGCCCTCATGATTTTAGCAGATGACAGGCACAGTCAGGTAATTGGGATCTCCCATGTACATGAGTCCCTTGGTGGCTGAAGCTAGAGTTACTTGAAGGTGTCATCACTCACATGTCTGGTGCCTAGGCTGGGATGCCTGTGATAGCTAGGATCTAGTTGGACCTAGCTTTCTCCGCAAGCTTCTCTAAATGAATAGCTTGGGCTTTCTTACAGATGGTGGCTTCTGTTTAATTAGATTTCTAACTAAGCATAAGCATTTCCACATAAGCATTCAAAAAACCTGGGATAAAACTGTAAAACTTCTTTTGATGTCCCCTCAAAAGTCATGCAGTGTCACTTTTACCATTGTCTTTTGGGACAGCTTGTGACAGGCCAGTACAGATTCAAGGAAATGAAAGAACAGGTTCTACTTTTCAAGGAGGGAATGGCCTGCATGTACAGGGAGGAAATAGTGATAGAGTCCACCTACACACAGACTGCCACGAAGTCCTAAATGCTTTCTTCAAATGTCATCTTTATCTCTACCACATAATTTAAATGTGTCTTTCCTTAGCACACAATTTTCTCCCTTTCATTCCTTCAATTAAAACTACTTTCTAGCTTAACAATGAAAGGAGGAAGGATTTGTTTACTCCTTGCTTCTTTGGGCAAATCAGACTTTACAACCAGATTCAAATTCAAATCTTAGCTGTTCCATTCACTAGCAGAATTACTTGGGCAAGAAATGTCTCCTCAGAAAAATGGATTCTCTGACACCTACTGCCTACTGTAACACCTAACATATAATAAGGTTATTAACTTATTTATTATTTATTGACTAACCAATCTCTGAGATTCCATTATATCCTCTATGAAATAGGGAGATCAACCTCACAGTGACATAGAAATAAATGAACAACTTATTGTTTGCAAAATACTAAATACAGGACCTTAATACAGTAAAGTGAGGATATGCTATTAGTAATATTATTATGGTTAATATTCTCATCATCACTTAGGTTATTGCCATTATAGTTACTCTTTATATTTGTGTCACCACAGTCTAACAACTCAGGCATCTTCTTCAGCTCCTGGATCTCGTTTATTTACTTCACCTCATCCTTAGCCACTGTCTTAATGCTTTAAACATTCATACTAATGACAAATTAAACATATTCTTCCATAAGTCCTTGACCTTGTCAACTTTAATAATCATATTCCCCATTTCACTCCAAATAAACACAAATTATCACTTAAAAGTACCCTACACTTAAATCACAAATTGCAATTTTCTCTTTACATGTTGCAATTCTTGTATCTTCCCATCACACTTTCCTTGATTCCTTATTTTATTCTCGTCTATCAGCACCTTTCTGGTTTTACTTGACTCCCTAGTCAACCTTGACACCATGGCCATTCACACCATTGGCATCTTTGATGATAAGTCAAACCAAATTTAAAAATTCTTAAATCTGAATGGGCTCAATTGATAAAAATGTTCACTTCTCCTTTCCTAAAAATACCATTGGCTTCATGAGGCTTTTAAAATTATTTCTCCATCTCCTTGCTCCTTCCTTGTTAAAATTCTCTACCCAGAGGTCTTTACCAACTGCCTCCATTTCTCCAGCCTTCCACCATTTCTTAGCTCCTTATAGTCTAGCTCAGCCCCTTATGATCAGACTTTGCAATTACCACATTTGACTTAGCAAAGTTAGACTAGAAAGCCAGGACCAGAGCCAGAGAAAGTAGTTAATTTAGTCCATTCAGATTTAAGAATTTATAAATTTGGTTTCAGTTTGTAGCAAAGATGCAAATGGTGTGAATGACAATGGTATCAAGGTGGATTAAGGAGTCAAGTGAAGCCAGAATGATGCTGGTAGGACTAATTCAGAAACAACTTAAAATACTGAAGAGGGTTTTTTGTTTGTTTCCATTGAAAAAAAAAAGCATCTTTGCACCCTGAATGGTCTATATTAGAGAATAGAAGAATGTTAATAAGAAAATTGACATGCTTTCCAGCCTCTAAAATGTGAACACTCTACATATCTTTGACTGCTATTAGATATCACTATTTTAAGGGTTATAATACAAAGGTATATTTCTTCATCAGATCACAGTTGCTTTTTAAAGCTAGAGTCTACATGCTCATAGATTATTGCTATTCTATACCAGTTTTTCATAAGCATAAGGAAAATAATATCTGATTTACCACTCTCCCATGCACACCAAAAACCATCATTGTCATCATCATCATCATCATCAAAATCACACTTTCTTTTAGCTCCCCACAAAATTTTTCCATGCCTCACTTCTAGAATATACCCTTCCTTGGCCTGAACTATCATTATTTCAGAGCTCTTCATATTTCCCTCGTTAAAGTTTAAGCTACTTGATAGTCACATCACAGTATTTGTACATTGAAGATTTTCTGAAAATAAAAATTAAACCCATAACCTAGAGCTTTTTAGTAATGATGGGATCTTCTTTTTGTAACTGATACCATTGTTTATCACTCTCTATTGTTGCTGCTGTAAACTATGGTTGATGTCAACAGTCATAGTTGATATTGACATTCATATTCTTGTGTGTGTTTCTGATTATTTCTTTTTCTTTTACTATAAAATATAATGCTGATTTGTAGTTGCCTCCAAGCACAAAGTTTTAGAAAAAAATCAAATCTATAATTAAGTTACCAGCAGAAATCATGGAAACTGCCTTGCACCCCATCTCTTTCTACTGTCAATTTCCATCACTAAATATGTATTTCACTAAGATGATTAGATAGTTTGATGGGATCTTTATTGGAAATGCAATTTCTTATGGCTCCTCATCATGGCTTGTATTTAACTTTATCCATTCCCTTTCTCCTATAGGTCCCCCAGGCCCACCAGGCATAGTGATTGTTGAGGAAATCACAGAAAGCACAGCCACACTGTCCTGGAGCCCAGCGGCTGACAACCACAGCCCAATCTCCTCCTACAACCTGCAGGCTCGAAGCCCATTCTCCCTGGGCTGGCAAAGAGTAAAAACAAGTAAGAAGCTCTAATGCAACATCAGAGGCAACCAGAACACCTTTCTGTGTCATGAGCTATATTTGCTAGCAATCTCAGTAGGATCACTTTGGATTCTGGAAACTTTGTTATTTATTACAATATTAACCACTGTTTACCTCTTTTTATAAAGATATTTTTCTTTCTGGGTGTCTGGGTGGCTCAGTAAATTAAGTGTCCCACTCTTGATTTCAGGTTCAGATCATAATCTCAGGGTCTGAGATAGAGCCTTCCGTGGCTCCCTGCTGGGTGTGGAGCCTGCCTAAGATTCTCTCTCTCATTACTTCATACCCCACCATGTGCTCACACTGTCTCAAAAAAAAAAAAAAAAAAAAAAAGCTATCTTGCTTTCTTCTCTAAATTCCTAGGAAGAGATCACATCATTTATATTTGTTTGTTTATTGAAATAACTTTAGGCTCAATGGGAAGTTGCAAAAATAGTACAAAAATCTCCTGTGGACTTATTCCTCATCTCTCCCTAATTATAATATTTTATGTAACAGTGGTTCAATTATCAAATCAGAAAATTGACACTGATATAATGCTATTAACTGATTTATAAACTATATTCAGACTTCACCAGTTTTTATATGCAATTTTAATATGTTATTCCATAAAATTTTATGAAATTTTATTGCATAGACTCAAGTAACCACCAAGATAATCAGGTACAGAATTTTTCCATTACTCCACTTCCTTGTGCTGCCTATTTATAGTCATACATTTGTTTAATTTGTAAAAAGAAGATTTAACACGTTATATTATGTAAAACAATGCAATGCAGCATTTTGATGTCTACTTCTAAGATGTCTACTTGATGGCTATTAGACACCTATTTAACATGTTGGTATTTAAAATTATGTAATATCTGGAGGAGGAGTCAAGAAGGCGGAGAAGTAACAGGCTGAGACTACTTCAGGTAGCAGGAGATCAGCCAGATAGCTTATCTAAAGATTGCAAACACCCACAAATCCAATGGGAGATCGAAGAGAAGAAGAACAGCAATTCTAGAAACAGAAAATCAACCACTTTCTGAAAGGTAGGACTGGCGGAGAAGTGAATCCAAAGCCACGGGAAGATAGACTGCAGGGGGAGGGGCCGGCTCCCGGCAAGCGGCGGAGCAACGGAGCACAAAATCAGGATATTTAAAAGTCTGTTCCGCTGAGGGACATCACTCCAGAAGCTAAACCAGGGTGAAACCCACACGGGGTCAGCATGGCCTCAGGTCCCGCAGGGTCACAGAAGGATCTGGGGTGTCTGAGTGTCACAGAGCTTATAGGTATTAGAACGGGGAAGCCGGCTACAGAGACAGAGCCAAGGAGTGAGCTCTCAGCTAGGGGTTACATTGAACTGGTCGCAGGCTGGGTGAGCTCGGAGCGCAACAGGAGGCCAGGGAGATGGGAGTAATTGGGTGCTATTCTCTGAGGGCACACTGAGGAGTGGGGCCCTGAGCTCTCAGCTCCTCCGCACCAGAGAATGGGAGGCCGCCATTTTCATTCCCGTCCTCCAGAACTCTACAGAAAACATTCAGGGAACAAAAGCTCCTGAAAGCAACCCTGAAGTGATTACTCAGCCCAACCCCTGGTAAGGTGGTTCAATTCTGCCTGGGACAAAGACACTTGAGAATCACTACAACAGGCCCCTCCCCCAGAAGATCAAAAAGAAATCCAGCCAGGACCAAGTTCACCTACCAAGGAGTACAGGTTCAATACCAAGGAGAGCAGCGGAATTACAGAGGAGGAGAAAGCAAAGCACGGAACTCATGGCTTTCTCCCCAAGTTTCTTCAGTATTCCAGATAATTTAATTTTTTTCTTTTTCATTTTTTTTCTTCTTCTGCTAATTTTTTTTAACTTTTACCCTTTTCTTTTTTAAGGTTTTTTAACTAGTTTATCTAATATATATTTTTTTCCCTTTTTTTCTTTTTTATATTTTTTCTTTATTCATTCTCTTTCTTTAATTGTTTCCTTTTTTCCTCTGAACCTCTTTTTATCCCCTTTCTCCCCACCGATTTAGGATCTCTTCTGAGTTGGTTAAAGCATATTTTCCTGGTGTCTTTGCCACCCTTTTAGTATTTTACTTGCTCCTTCATATACTCTTATCTGGACAAAATGACAAGGCGAAAAATTCAACACAAAAAAAAAAGAACAAGAGGCAGTACCAAAGGCTAGGGACCTAATCAATACAGACATTGGTAATATGTCAGATCTAGAGTTCAGAATGACGATTCTCAAGGTTCTAGCCAGGCTTGAAAAAGGCATGGGAAGATATTAGAGAAACCCTCTCAGGAGATATAAAAGCCCTTTCTGGAGAAATAAAAGAACTAAAATCTAACCAAGTTGAAATCAAAAACGGTATTAATGAGGTGCAATCAAAAATGGAGGCTCTCACTGCTAGGATAAATGAGGCAGGAGAAAGACTTAGCGATATAGAAGACCAAATGACAGAGAATAAAGAAGCTGAGCAAAAGAGGGACAAACAGCTACTGGACCATGAGGGGAGAATTCGAGAGATAAGTGACACCATAAGACGAAACAACATTAGAATAATTGGGATTCCAGAAGAAGAAGAAAGAGAGAGGGGAGCAGAAGGTATATTGGAGAGAATTATTGGAGAGAATTTCCCTAATATGACAAAGGGAACAAGCATCAAAATCCAGAAGGCTCAGAGAACGCCCCTCAAAATCAACAAGAATAGGTCCACACCCCGTCACCTAATAGTAAAATTTACAAGTCTTAGCAACAAAGAGAAAACCCTGAAAGCAGCCCGGGAAAAGAAGTCTGTAACATACAATGGTAAAAAATGTTAGATTGGCAGCAGACTTATCCACAGAGACCTGGCAGGCCACAAAGAGCTGGCATGATATATTCAGAGCACTAAATGAGAAAAACATGCAGCCAAGAATACTATATCCAGCTAAGCTATCATTGAAAATAGAAGGAGAGATAAAAAGCTTCCAGGACAAACAAAACTGACAGAATTTGCAAACACCAAACCAGCTCTACAGGAAATATTGAAAGGGGTCCTCTAAGCAAAAAGACACGCTAAAAGTAGAAGATCAGAAAGAAACAGAGACAATATACAGTAACAGTCACCTTACAGGCAATACAATGGCACTAAATTTTATCTCTCAATAGTTACTCTGAATGTTAATGGGCTAAATGCCCCAATCAAAAGACACAGGGTATCAAAACCCATCTATATGTTGCCTACAAGAAACTCATTTTAAACCCGAAGACACCTCCAGATTTAAAGATGGGGGTGGTGGAAAACAATTTACCATGCTAATGGACATCAGAAGAAAGCAGGGGTGGCAATCCTTATATCAGATCAATTAGATTTTAAGCCAAAGACTATAATAAGAGATGAGGAAGGACATTATATCAGACTCAAAGGAACTGTCCAACAAGAAGATCTAACAATTTTAAATATCTATGCCCCTAACGTGGGAGCAGCCAACTATATAAACCAATTAATAAAAATCAAAGAAACACATCGACAATAATACAATAATAGTAGGGGACTTTAACACTCCCTTCACTGAAATGGACAGATCATCCAAGCAAAAGATCAACAAGGAAATAAAGGCCTTCAGTGACACACTGGACCAGATGGACATCACAGATATATTCAGAACATTTCATCCCATAGCAATAGAATACACATTCTTCTCTAGTGCACATGGAACATTCTCCAGAATAGATCAAATCCTTGGTCCTAAATCAGGTCTCAACTGGTATCAAAAGACTGGGATCATTCCCTGCATATTTTCAGACCACAATGCTCTGAAGCTAAAACTCAATCACAAGAGGAAACTTGAAAAGAACCCAAATACATGGAGACTAAACAGCATCCTTCTAAAGAATGAATGGGTCAACCAGGAAATTAAAGAAAAATTAAAAAATTCATGGAAACAAATGATAATGAAAACACAACAGTTCAAAATCAGTGGGAAACAACAAAGGCAGACCTGAGAGGAAAATATATAGTGGTACAAGCCTTTCTCAAAAAACAAGAAAGGTCTCAAGTACACAACCTAACCCTACACCTAAAGGAGCTGGAGAAAGAACAAGAAAGAAACCCTAAACCCAGCAGGAGAAGAGAAATAATAAAGATCAGAGCAGAAATCAAAGAAACCAAAAAAACAATAGAACAAATCAACAAAACTAGGAGCTGGTTCTTTGAAAGAATTAATAAGATTGATAAACCCCTGGCCAGACTTATCAAAAAGAAGAGAGAAAAGACCCAAATAAATAAAGTAATAAATGAAAGAGGAGAGATCACAACTAACACCAAAGAAATACAGACAATTATAAGAACATACTATGAGCAACTCTACGCCAACAAATTTGACAATTTGGAAGAAATGGATGCATTCCTAGAGACATATAAACTACCACAACTGAACCAGGAAGAAATAGAAAGCCTGAACAGACCCATAACCAGTAAGGAGATTGGAACAGTCATCAAAAATCTCCGAACAAACAAAAGCCCAGGGCCGGATGGCTTCCTGGGGGATTCTACCAAACTTTTAAAGAGGAACTAATTCCTATTCTCCTGAAACCGGTCCCAAAAAATAGAAATGGAAGGAAAACTTCCAAACTCATTTTATGAGGCCAGCATCACATTGATCCCAAAACCAGACAAGGATCCCATCAAAAAAGAGAACTACAGACCAATATCTTTAATGAACACAGATGCAAAAATTCTCACCAAAATACTAGCCAATAGGATCCAATAGTACATTAAAAGGATTATTCACCGTGACCAAGTGGGATTTATTCCAGGGCTGCAAGGTTGGTTCAACATCTGCAAATCAATCAATGTGATACAACACATTAATAAAAGAAAGAACAAGAACCATATGATACTTTCAATAGATGCTGAAAAAGCATTTGACAAAGTACAGCATCCCTTCCTGATCAAAACTCTTCAAAGTGTAGGGATAGAGGGCACATACCTCAATATCATCAAAGCCATCTAT